TTGAGCTTGTATTCTGATTGGTTGTCAGACTCCCATGGGCACATACAGGGGCAACTGTCTAGGCTGCGTTTTGAATCCAGGGTTGGGTGAGTTCTCAGATGCCATGAGGCGAATTGGGTAAAGGGCCAATATTATCATTCCTTAATCCCATTATTCTGGAGCTGAAGGGGAGAACTCTTTATTATGTAAAGTGGACTAGCTCAGGCTTTAACAGCTCATTGAAAAAAGGGGGATGGGCAGGCAGCTGCAGGCAGCTATACTGTCTTTTAAAACATGTTTCTTCCTTTTCACATCCAAAGAAATATTCTGCCTTTTCAATATTTCCTAGGATATTTCATTTTTCTGGGAGAGGGCTGGGTGATAACTTCCTACAAGATAGAGTTAAACTGTCTTAAAAAAAACTTCCAAAAACCTATGAGAGAAAGCATTGTGGACCTTTGGAAGTAAAAAAATTCAAGGTATGAGGGCAACTGCAGAGGCAGCAAGTCTTTTTCTCCATGGCTATTTCAAACAGAGAAAAGCCACTTAACAGGCCTTTCTGGGATCAATTGAAGCTTTTGGATCACTTTCCAAGTCTGTCCCATGTAAAATGCTCTACAGTAATTCTGCATGAGTTATTGATGATGTAGTGTCCTGGCCCAAGACAGTATAATTAACTTAGCCAAAGCTGAGCAAATATTCACCAAGCCAGTCTCCACCCACCTTTTAAACAGTAACCATGAGTCTAGGAGGATATCCAGGTTCTACACCAATTCCTTTCCAGGAAGCATTACCTAATCCAGAACAATTAATGGAATCAATATTCCTGAACATTTAGTGATGCACAGCAAGTTAATTTTTAGTGAGTCTTCAACTTACAACAGTTCATTTAGTGATTATTTGAAGTTATGGCACTGAAAAAGTGACTTATGCTTATTTTTCACAGTTACAACCATTGCAGCATTCCCCATGATCACTTGATCAAAATTTGGATGCTTGGCAACTGACTCATATTTATGATGGTTGCAGTGTCCCAGGAATCATGAAGGTCACCTTTTGTGACCTTCTGACAATCAAAGTCAATGGGGAAGCCAGATTCATTTAACAATCGAATTGCTAACTGAAAAACTGCAATGATTTACTTAACAACTGTGGCAAAAAACATTGTAAAATGGGGCAACACTCAACAAATGTCTCTCTTAGCAACAAAATGTTGGGCCTCAACTGTGGTCATAAGTCAAGGACTACCTATACTGCTGACAACTTATCCAACAGGCTCATGTAGGCATTGAATAGAATGTTGGAAAGCACCAAGCCTGAGATAATGAACATTGGATGATTTAAAATACTGTTTTCCCCTAACTACATTAAACATCCAGAAAGGGACCAACTGAAATACATATAGTCCTCAAATTATGACCACAACTGAGCCCAACATTTCTGTTGCTAAGTGCAACAGGTTTTTTTGCCCCATTTTGCAACTTTTCTTGCCACAACTTTTCTTGCAGTGAATCATGCAGTTGTTAAATAAGTGCCATAGTTGTACATTAAATCTGGCTTCCTCATTGACTATGTTTGTCAGACGGTTGCAAATGGTGATCACATGACCCCAGGACACTGCAGGTGCCATAAATATGAACCACTTCCCAAGCGGCCAAATTTTGATCACGTGATCATGGGGATGGTGCAATGATCATAAGTGTGAAAAATGGCATACGTCAGGTTTTTCCAGTGCTGTTGTAACTTCAAACAGTCACTAAATGATTAGATGTAAATCAAGGACTATCTGGACACTTTCTGTATTTCCCGATCATTGCAAAATGTTCAATAAGATACCATAGCTGGGGGTACTGAAAGCCACCAAGATGGTTCTACTTCCCCCATCTATGTCCAAACAAAAATCATCTACTAGGATGACCAATCATGTTATTTCCCCCTGACTGGATATTAATACGATGGATTCATTTCTTCTAGGGCTGAGTCACACAGGGAAGGTTGAAGAAAGGGGAGACATTATCAAAATCTTCAGGATCCTAGAGGGGCTTCTTCAAGAGCAGGTGCAGAACCATCTCATTTAAAGTAGGTGTCAACACTTCCTTACTCAGAGCAACTTTGACAACTTCACTGACCCAGCAAGTCGCACCCCGATTGGTTACTTAAAAGAACCAGTAGTGGCTTAGACCCAATAGCATAGGTCTAAGTCACAAGTCAGGTGGCAGAGTTCATGTTATATAAAGAACCCTTTTCATTTTCTCTAGCAGAAGTTCAAGTCTCACTTAGTGTATTAGAATCTGTCTAAGTAGCATGTGCCCCTGGCTGGCCACTTGAAAAAAAGCCTAATCAATCAGCCAGCAAGCCAGTGGATGTTGCTGAAGTTGTTGTTAGTTGCAAAGTTGTGTCCGACCCATTGCGATCCCATGGACAACATTCTTCCAGGCCTGTCTTCTACCATCCTCTGGAGTCCATTTACGCTACACGCCGACTGCTTCAGTGACTCCATCCAGTCACCTCATTCTGTCGTCCCCTTCTTCTTTTGCCCTCAATCTTTCCCAGCATTAGGCTCTTTTCCAGTGAGTCCTGCCTTCTCATTAGGTAGCCAAAGTATTTGAGTTTCGTCTTCAGGATCTTGTCTTCTAAAGAGCAGTCAGGGTTGATCTCCTCTAGGACTGACCGGTTTGATCACCTTACAGTCCAAGGGACTCGCAGGAGTCTTCTCCAATACCATAGTTCAAAGGCCTCAGTTCTTTGGTGCTCAGCCTTCCTTATGGTCCAACTTTCACTGCCATACATTGCAACTGGGAAAAACTATAGCCTTGACTATATACATTTCTGTTGGCAGGGTGATGTCTCTGCTTTTTAGTATGATGTCTAGATTTGCCATAGCTTTCCTCCCCAGGAGCAAGAGTCTTTTACTTTTTGCTGAAGTAGTGCTCAACAATTCAGGGCATTGGGTATATGGCAGCTGCATTAATGCATGGGCTTCCTTCTATAACAGCCTTTCTAACACTCACTTTGATCAGTTTGTTGTCCAAACCTGAAGATGCTATTTTGGTTTGCACAAACTGGCTTTGAATCCAAGACTTGGCAGGGGTTAACTCCAGTTTGTACATTAATTGCAACTCAACAGAAAAAGACTTTTATGAGTATAAAGGTTTATTTAGCAAACATTCAGTCTAGAAGCAAGAACTTCCCATTTAAAGGTCCTGCAGATATTAGATTTGGGACAAAAGAGAAATGTGGACGTTTAAAAGACCAATACTGGCTAAAGGAAGGTTTGGAAATTCAGTTTTACCTTGCAAACAGATTTATTCTGTGCAGCAAATTTCAGAATCAAACCACTTCTCACAGACAGAACATAGATCAGTTCTCTCCCACTTCTGAAGAAAGCTGCCACTTTAGCAGCTTTTTACGCCGGTTGGTGGAGGGGCTTCCCCGGGCGCCTTTGCACACGCTTGGCTCCATGTTTGTCGGAGAAGCAGCCGCCGAGATTTTCCGGTTAGCAAGCGACGCTCGGCTCAGCAAGTGCTCTCTTGAGCATGCGCCAGAAAGCCGAGCATGCGCAATGTTGCAGAGGACCCAGTCCGCTTGAGGTTTGGCGTCGGGCATCGGGTCAGGTCTTCCCGAACCTTGGTCGTCCCCAGGCCTTCCCACGCAGCTGATTTCCGGTTGGCCTGCGGTAGGACTCAAGCCTGCCAAGCCCCGCTTCTCCTAAGATGGCGGATGAAGGCGACGGCGCGGGAAGGATGGCTGGAACGGGCGGCGCTGCCCCCGTGAACCCCTCGGATCTGGCTGGGGTGAGATTCCGCTCTCGCCCGAGGGTCCATCCCTGGCGCTTGGGTCGATGGCCGCGGCGACGTTCCTTCTTAAAGGGTCCAAACAGCAGCTGCGCTAGATAAATGGACCCTAACCCAGAAATGCCCGGGCTCCGATAGTTTTATTAGCCCGCGTTGATCACACAGTGGGGGCTGCTGCTCCTTATGTCTTGCTAGGAAGGTGGTCTTTCCCTGGTTCCCGCTTCTGTTGCCTGCGGTCCCGTCCCCCCCCAAAAAGGTTCATCTCTGGGTTTCTTGTCAAATGGGACTGCACCGCTGCGCACTACACAGCGCCGTACATACATGCTGGGTAAAGCCCACTTAGTTGACAGGTAAAGAGTTAGGATTTGGAGGAGGGTTATGTCTTTTTAACTCCAGGAGAGTTAAAATTACCGGAGTTGGATTCGGACAGGTCCACTGTTGCAATAGAAATAGCCGATATCCGTACCTCGATAAAGATGCAATAAACATTTTCCGAAGTGTTTTGCCATCTTGGCCTTCGTTCTCTTAATTCTTGACTTTGTCTCTTTTAGATTTCAATTAGTTGTTAGTTTTTATCTCTTTACTTTAAAATGTAATAGTTATTTTTAAAAAAATAATAATTGCTTAATGGACAGAGATCATTTATTACAGTGTACAGTGCTTCTTTATTAGCACTGTACATTCAGTAATATGTTTATACCGTATAATAAACCAGTATGGAATGTTTTGCGTCTTGAATATTATTATCATAAAGTAGGGAAGGGGAGATTCAATGAAGCTAAAAGGCAAATTTATTTATTTTGCTGGAGTGGATTGTTGTCTAGGCCATAATATTTAAACTTCAAAATATTCATCTCAATGCACTCTTTGTATTTATATATGTGTGTGGTAGTGTTCTTAGTCGTAAATGACTCTTATGTGAGCTTCGCTATTATTAATCAAACTTTATGGAAACATTTATTAAAAATAATGTTTAGCAATTTTATATTTCTTTGTTTAGAGGAACTTGTGAAAATAGATTCATAAATGAGGACAAGGACTGGAATGGTAAAAGAAACAACAAGGATAATATAACAGGCGTGCAATAGTTTGAAAGTATTAAATGTCTAGGACTTGAAGTAAAAGTGAAAGTGGGAACATCAGAGAAAATACTTAAAATGGTTCAGTCTTTTGAGTAAATCAACAATGTTTAACAAAGGATGTTAATTAAGTAGACAGGATTTTCAGGCTCAAAAATGGTTTCACTTTTTGTAATCAAAACAAATGGCATTTCAAAAAATTTCCTTCACTTTGGAAAGATAGCCGAATGCTGTGTTGTGGATTTCAAATGGAGCTCAAAGATACTAGTAGCTTAATGGTGCAGCCTGAGAATTTGACAGATTTTGTGTAAATTATAGAGAAGTAATTACTGCTTAGGTGATGTTTTGAAAGGAACTCTAGATAACTAGGAATGATATTTGTCTGCTTGTTGACATTTAATAATTAACCAGCTGTGTAACTGAAAAAGTAAAAGTGAGTAGACAGTTAATATGAGGAAACACACAATACTGAGAAAAGAGACAAGAACATTAATGTCTCTTGCATCTGCAATCCATATCTGAAGGGAATAGTAAATACTGCAATGTTTAAAGGCTTGAATTTTGTTTGAATGAGATTTTTCACATATTTTTAAACAAACATGGAAGTTTCAGTATGTGTTCAATATGTGATGAGATCCAGTTTGGTGTAGTGGTTAAGATGCTGGCCTAGAAATTAAGAAACTAAGTTTTAATCCTGCCTTAGGCATGAAAGCTCGCTGGATGACTTTGGGACTTTGGGTCATTCTCAGTGCAATACACATCAAAGATGTGTACAAAAACCTTGAATGACCAAAGCCACTGAGTGGTGGAAGTCAATATCTATGGCCCATTTGCTGAAGTTATGACAAATGGAAGATTTGGAATGTGAAAGAAGTAAATAGTAAATAATATAAATTAATCAAATTAAAAAGAAAAAGTATCTGTAATTAAAAAAGGGGGGAAGCATATAATACATGTGAATGAAAGTGGTCTGATTGAGTTGAGAAATATATGCAGGGAAGTGAAGTTTAATCATGGAAGGAAGGTCTAAATATATGTTAAAAATATAAACTGGTGTTAAGTAATTGTTATGGGTGTCTATTAAAGTAGGAATCTATATTTGGTGATAGTTGCGTGTCAGCAGTGAATAATGGTATTGGATTTGTGGAAAAATAAATATAATGTAGTGGGGGGGAATCTTCTAGGTGATAAGATGGATGGATAGGAATAAGATGAGAGAGAAAGAAAAGGGCATTAGAGGCCAAAGAATGCAATAAGAATGTTGACAGCTGAGTATCTGCTTAGAAAAGATGCATTTGTTTTTAATATGTGGTTTAAATATCTATTTACATGTATACATGGCATAGGAATGAGTATAATAATAATAATAGCACTTAGACGTATATACTGCTTCATAATGGTTTACAGCCCTCTCTAAATGGTTTACAGAGTCAGCATATTGTCCCCAACAATCTGGGTCCTCGTTTTACTGACCTCGGAAGGATAGAAGGCTGAGTCAACTTTGAGCCAGTGAAGACTGAACTCCTGGCAGTGAGCTGAATTAACCTGTAATACTGCATTCTGAACAAGATGGCTCGGTGGCTAACACACTGAGCTGGTCGATTAGAAAGGTGTTCGAATCCCTAGCACCGCGTAACGGAGTGAATCCCTGTTACTCGTCCCAGCTTCTGCCGATCTAGCAGTTCAAAAGCATGTAAATATGCAAGTAGAAAAATAGGGACCACCTTTGGTTGGAAGGTAACAGTGTTCCATGTGCCTTTGGCGTTTAGTCATGCCAGCTACATGACTTAAGAGATGTTTTCGGACAACGAAGACAGAGATGTCTTCGGCTTTGAAACGGAAATGAGCAGCATCCTCTAGAGTCGGGAACGACTAGCACATATGTGCGAGGGGAACTTTTACCGCATTCTGAATTAATCTGCAATACTGTATTCTAACCACTGCATCACCACGGATCCTAAGCTAGAAAGCAGAGGGCTGCCTAGAGTCACCCCAAACAGCAAGATGGGCAATATGTAAATTTAATAAATAAATCAATAGCAATAGCAGTAGACTTATATACCGCTTCATAGGCCTTCAGTCCTCTCTAAGCGGTTTACAGAGAG